CCAACCCCTAGCCGCCTTTTGCCAATATAGGGTCTCCACTCCCTAGTTGCGAATATTTTAGACATAGGGTCTCTACAGCGCCTTTTGCCAACATAAGGTCTCCAATCCCTAGTTGAGATTATTTTTAGACATAGGGTCTCCATCCCCTAGTCGCCTTTTGCCAACATAGGGTCTCCACTCCCTAGTTGAGATATTTTTAGACATAGGGTCTCCATCTCCTAGTCGCCTTTTGCCAACATAGGGTCTCCAATCCCTAGTTGAGATTATTTTTAGACATAGGGTCTCCATCCCCTAGTCGCCTTTTGCCAACATAGGGTCTCCAATCCCTAGTTGAGATTATTTTTAGACATAGGGTCTCCATCCCCTAGTCGCCTTTTTCAACATAGGGTCTCCACTCCCTGGTTGAGTTTTTATAGATATAGGGCTCCACTCCCTAATCTCTTTCTCCTAATGACACACGATCCTTGTTTTATTGCTTTCAATAAATAAATAGTGTAGGGTTTGTTACAATAACTCACGAAATTTTCCTGATAAAAACTGGGGCAGAAAAATTCCGTTCTTTATTTGTTTTGGTGTCTGAGCAGGTTTTACCTTGAGGCACAGGGTTCGAGACGACCAAAAGAATGAGTCTCAATCCAGAANTTTCTTTTTCCATATTCATTATATATAATTCACATTCACCACTTATATAATCACTTATTACAAAATTATTTTAAAGGATAAATTAACAAAAAAAGAAATCATTGATAAAAGTTATATTTCTTTTTATACAATTATAATAATAATAAAATGAACTTATAATTTTATATAAATATAATATATCCAAAAATTAATATATCAAAAAATAGGATATAAAATTAAAATTATAAAGATCTTAATATAAAAGTTAATTATATACACAATATATGATAAATTAAAAGTCCAAAAATAAAAAGATTGAATAAAATAATATTAAACCAAATATAGAGTAATGAATAGTGTTGCACCAAATTTGGTGCAACACTATTCATGCTCTATAATAATGCAAAAAATAGTGTTGCATTGGAGCAAAAAAACACCATTTCTTGCACCAAAAAATAAAATGGCATTGGAGATGCCCTTAGTCACCTTACATGGCTTTTCAGCTATAGTGCATGGCGAAATATCGCATAGTGGCTATCCACGTATATGCATTTATAACTTCACACCATACTTAAGTACTCTTAGAAATTTGATTTGATAGTAAAGAAAAACAAAAAAATATAAAAAAAGCCTTGAGGTGTGATATTGTGATTATCCGATAGGTCATCCTATAATTTAAACCTAATTCTATGATCCGAAACCTTTAAAATTTATGTTCTAGCCTTCTCGATTTGCGTGTGCAGTCCGGGCGTCATTCCGAAAAGCTTTTATGTTAAAAACTAATAAAGATAAGAAACTTTGCCTAAAAGCTTCATTTAAGTTGACTTTAGTAAATATTCTTGGTAAACGGACCCCGATTTGTATTTTGACGGTCCCGATTGGTCCGTACAGTAATTTGGGACTTGGGCGTATGCCCAGAATCGAAATCAGAAGACCCTAGCCCCAGATATCGGACTATGTCGAAATTTGAAAGTTGACAGCTTAGTGAAATTGAAGTGTTTGACCAAAGTTTGACTTTTTGGATAACGGGTCCGTATTTTTGTTCCGAAATCCGGTGTAGGTCCAATACCATAATTATGACTTATCTGTGAAATTTGATGAAAAACGGAGTTGATTTGACGTGATTCGGACGTCCAGTTGTGAAAATAGGAATTTTAAAGTTTTCTTGAAAATTTCATTTGATTTGGTGTTAAGTTCGTAGTTCTAGGTGTTATTTTGGCGATTTGATCACGAGAGCAAGTTCGTAGGATGTTTTTAGACTTGTGTGCACGTTTGGGTTGGAGCCCCGAGGGCTCGAGCGAGTTTCGGATAGGCTACAAAGTGATTGAACTTGGAGAAAAATCGTTGGTGTGCTTCAGTTTTTGTTGTAGGCCTCTGATCTTGCAATTGCGAGATCAACCTTCGCAGTTGCGACCACTGTTGGGTTCGCATTTGCAACCTACTCATCGCATTTGCGAAGAGTAGCTGTGGAGGCCAATGATCGCAACTGCGAACAATTTCTAGCAATTGCGATGGGAACTGGGGAGGGGTGCTTTTCGCATTTGCGATCACATGGTCGCATTTGCAGTCTTGCCCATGTTCGTATTTATGAACTAAATCTCGCATTTGCGAACAATGCAGAAATGAGAAGGGTTTTGCATTTGCGATACCTCTTTGCATTTGCAGGCTTCGCAAATCATTTGCGATATCTGCAGCTGGGTAAATGAGACTTAGACGGAATTTTCTCCCATTCTCTAAATTTTCAAATTCTAGAACCCAAGAGGTGATTCCTCCAAGACCAACTCTTCCCCAAAACTTTGGCAAGTGATCCTAACCCACTTTCTTTTAATTTTCCATCACATTTCATGACTTTCCAACCTCAAATCTAGGATTTCCATGGTAGAAATTGGGGGTTTGGGTAGAATTAGGAATTTTTGAGAATTGGGATTTAGACCTCAAATTGGGGTCAGATTTCAAAACTAATTACATACTCGTGCTCGGGGGTGAATGAGTTTTGGACCGAACCTCGAGTTTTGACCAAGCGGGTCCGGGGTCGATTTTTGACTTTTTGGGGAAAAATTTGGGAAATCCAAATTTATGCATTAAAGTTGATTCCTTTAGCAATAATTAATGTTATTGAGTTAATTGTGGTTAGATACAAGTGGTTTGGAGGTGGATACTAGAGGAAAAGCGGTAATTGAGCATTGAGTGGCCCGTGGAGCGAGGTAAGTGTGGTGTCTAACTTTGACTCGAGTGATTAGGAACCCTTGACTTATTTGCTATATGAAATTCATGTGAGCGGCATATATGTGAGGTGACGAGTACTTATGCGCCGCCAATTTATCTGTTTTTGCATATTTCTTTCCCGTTCTTCTCATATTGTTTCTTTTCCTGTCGTAATTGTCACATGCCTTACTTGTATTTCTATATTTAATTGCTACTTGTTATACATTGCTTCTCTTTGTTGAAGGTATTAGTTATTTCGTAGCTTCGTTGTCTCCTATTATTTGCTTAGGCTGATTATCGGTACTTTCATGATATATTCTGGATTGGTCTCGCTGAGTAGTATTACTTGTGTAAAGTTTCGTAATGTACAAGCTTCCTAATTGTTTGGTTGGAAGTTAAGCCTTGTAAAGGGTTATGTGATTTAAATTGTGAAATTGTTGTACATGCTGAAAAACTAATACTCATATGGTGGGATCGGGTTGCGTGATGTGATTATTGTGATTTGGTGGGATCGGATTGCACGCCACAACACTTTTATTTATATTCTGTTGTTTATATTAATAAGAGGAAATAAGGGAGGAATATGAGATGTACGGTGAGATCGGGTTGCACGCCGCAACAACCTATATGTTAATACTTTTCCTTGACTGTGTTAGTTGTACGACAGTCTTAAATTGCTAAGGATTGGTAGTAGCTGAACACTAATGATGTGCTTCGAGAACTATATTAACTTCTTGCAAGTTACTGCTCTATTTTATCCCGTCTTCCTTTCTGTTTTTATTGTATATTGTATGCAGGTTATATTGTGATTGCCCCGCCGTAGCTTCGTCATTCCTTCGTCGGGGTTAGGCTTGACACTTATCAGTACATGAGGTCGGTTGTATTGATATTGCACTCTGCACTTCCTGTGCAGATTTGGAGTTGGTTCAAGCTGATCGAGAGGTTTGCTATAGGATTTATTAGCTAGGAGATCCAAGGTAGACCTGTGGGCGTCCGCAGACCCTGGTGTCCCCTTTTATACCTCATACATTACTGTTTTCTTTATTTCGCAAATAGTTGTATTTTCTTTCGGACAAATACTTGTAGTAAGATCTTAGAATGTTCGTGAATTGTGACTCCGGATTCTGGATAGTAATAGTATATAATCAAAGTTGTTATTTATTTACTCCCGCGTTCATTTCGACTCGTTTTAGCTTGCTTTTTGTTAATCACCGAAACGTAAAGGAATTGGCTAATAAATCTCTAACGTTGGCTTGCTTAGCAAGTGTGATGTTAGGCGCCATCACGATCCTGATGATGAAGATTCTGGGTCGTGACAGATATTATCACATTTTAAAGAAAAAGTGACTACTTGACTTTTGAGGCAGCACAGAATACTTATGTGAGATGCAATCAAGCATTTATCTTATTTGAAGTTAAAATTCATCAATTATAAATATTTGATTTGAAATTTTAAAAAAAAAAGATTCTTATACAGGGAATATTAACAGTTACTAATATATATATGTTGAAATTGTAATTTTTCAAAAAAGATTTCGACCTTTTAGAGAAGATATGTTCTTTGTAAAAAGAGTCTATCTTATTCAAGTATTGTATAATAAGAAAACGATCATTCAAGTACTTTGTGGTCAGTAATTGATGGACAAGTATTTAAAAGTTACTTTTTAAATTCTACTTTCAATGCGGGACTACCTTAAAGATGGTGTTATTTTAAGTACGGAAAAATGTTAAACTATCGAATATTATTTAAAATTACTCTCCGTTATACTATCGGTTCAAAAGAACCCTTACCGCGACACTACTTAACGGAGGTGTCATGTGGCAGCCATTTGGTCCATCCGGATTTATTTTTTTACACTTACCGACCTAATATTCAAAAATTAAACCATAACATATTTTTTTTCTTCTCTTCCCCACGATCCAAACCTTGGATCAATAGCAATCCGTTTTCATTGGTAGCTGAAACAAAGTTCCACATAAGGAACAGAAGAAATCTACAATAGTAGGATAATTTTAATTAATATTCAATAGTAGAGGCTATTTTTGACTCATTTCCGTTTTAAATAAGATGACATGAGAATTTAACAATCTCACTTCAAGTGTCACTCTTAAAGTTCCTTCTTAATTTCAATATCACAAACTGTACAACAAGTCCATCATGATGCAGATTAAAATGAAGACGTAAACAAATGAATGAATGCTTTGGAAGTTAATTATATCTGAAAGTATTTATAGCTTTATAAATTATAACTTATGGATATTCTGAAAGCATATACTAGTATTAATTTAAGTTCCAATAGGATGAAAATGGAGAAAGTCACTAATTGTGTTAGCGATGTCTCTATTTCAAGTCAGTTTATGGATTCTGTGCCTTGAACACTGGATGCAGATCATACTCCAGACCAAAACTGGGGAAAGAGGTTAAGACCTTAGGCAATATGCTCTGCGAGACTAAGAATCTTAACATGCTTCTTTTTCCTCAACTCATGGGGCACTGGACCAAAAACTCTGGTTCCAATCGGTTCACCATGCTTGTTGATAAGCACCACAGCATTGTCGTCAAACTTTACTTCGCTCCCATCACAGCGGCCCCTTGGCATAGCAGCACGAACGACAACACCATAATGAACATCTCCTTTCTTCACTTTCCCTCCTGGCTGAGCTTCCTTCACCGAGCAAACTATTGTGTCTCCTAATCTTGCTCCTTTCTTGCCCTTTAGTGCTTGGATGCACATCACTCTCTTTGCACCGGAATTGTCTACCACTTTCAGATTCGTTCTCATCTGTATGAAGGTCCTTTGTTGCTGAAAGGACCAAAAAAAAGTAAAGAACTTATCATAATTGTAACATGAGACGATTCAAAGCGTACTCAATATAGCAGAGTTAACTCATAAGATTCAAGACCTTTTTCATATAAACTTTTAGCCATGTGATGTTATTAAGGCGTTTTCTCTAATGAAAATAAGCATTTCATATTTTTGATTAGTAAGAAGGGTTTATCTTAATGCCAGGAATAAATTCTGTGGCTTGCACTATTTTATTATAGTGCATGCATTGACAAAATGCACGCAACATCCATATTTCATGATCAATGGCTGATGAACATTGCAAATGGACTGGAAAAAAAGAATCGGGGTTCAGGGGGGAGTGATTGAAATAGCAGAGCAGACTAACCTGTAACAAATGATAGAACGTCATCTCGTGTGTTGATCTTATTAAACCATCAGGATAGTTGCAGAGGCCACTGAACAATGAACGACCCACTACTGCAGTTCATCACACATGTTTAAAGCACGGGTCACGCATACAGACAAGGAAATAAAGAGCGGCAAATGATAATGCAATGTGGATTATAGGACAGGAAGGCATCGAATGCAATGAGCTGACACAGATAGCATAATATCCTGTTGCAGTTGCTAATGGGATTTCTAAAGCACATAAAAGCATCAAAATTGAACAATCATTTCGCAAGGTTACTTCCTGCAAATTTGTTGATGCCTCTGTGGCTAAAAAAAATCATATTACTTCTTTCTTCCAAATTGAATTATCATAATTATTAAATAAGATGTTAGGTGTAAATGTTTCGTATTGATCAATTACGAGACTAGGTTGAGGTCACAAGTCAATCAATTTCTTTCAAGAGTTAAAAGAATTAAAAAGAAACAAGAAAAAGAAATTGTATCAAGTAGAAAAATAAGCCTAGCATAAACATCATTTTGGACAATGAGGGTATTCAATTTTGGGATGGAGCAAATTGAAAAGCTCATCAGCTTCTTCAACACAAGTTTTCTTGACCCAAGAGAATAAATTTCAAAAAGATCTAGACTTTATACTGTAAATGGGTAAAAACCCTCCTTTACAACTATATATCTAAGTTCTACCCACCATGCTGTAAAGAACGTAAATGACATTCATTGCTCGAAGACTTTGATATCAAACCCCACTGAACGGACAGATTAGTTGGTAATAGTGACAAATGTAATACTAAAAATAAAATGTGTTCATTGTGTGGATAGTGGTGAGTATTCCCGCCTGTCAAGTTGTTGTAGTATAGTGGTGAGTATTCACGCCTGTCACGCGGGTGACACGGGTTCGATCCCCGGCAACGGCGTTCTTTTGGAAGGGGAGCCTTGGCGTAACTGGTAAAGTTGCTGTCATGTGACTAGGAGGTCACGGGTTCAAGCCGTGGAAACAACCTCTTGCATAAATGCAGGGTAAGGTTGCATACAATAGACCCTTGTAGTCCTGCTCTTCCCCGGACCCCGCACAAAACGGGAGCGTAGTGGATAGCAACTACTAACTAGAACACATACATGCAAAACCTAAGTGAGTTCACCATCCACCAATGGGCAAATGTAAACTACCTCTCGGGTAGATCAAACAAAGGAATATCTCGGCATGTAACCCCTAAAACTTAATCCTATTTGTTTTTCCTCGAGCTTTTTCATTTAGTTCATCTGCCCGAAGCTACTTCACCTTTTCCCTTGAGGAAAGTAACAGCAAAAACCATGTTTTTCCTCCCCCCCAACCCACACACAAAAAAATAGGGAGGGTGGGGGAGAGAGAGAGAGAGATCAGTGCCAACATATTTGTCACGTCATTGAAGAAGAGTGAGAGTCACAAGTTCTGTCTTCATAAAAATGTATAATATAAAGCTCAATATTAGCAGTCAAAACAACTATAGTCCCTTACCACGAACCAGCCGAGAAGAAGATGCAGCCATCTTTGGAGAAGATTCTGTGATAGGAATGAGAAAGTCAAATACGATACCATCCACAAATAGACATAACACAAGCAGTACAAAATTAGAAAATCAATTCTGCCAATAGGTGTAAACAATATTCAAAATAAATTTAATGTAAATAAAAACCATATCTGAAGTACAGTAGTTAGCCAGCAACTCTACATGTGGGATCAGGGGAAGAAATATTCAAGCATCACAAGCCTTGATAACTTGATGATTTCTCCTTTTTTTCTTTGGATATGATACCCCACCCCACCCCCCACCCCCAAAAAAAAATTATCGAGGAGTCCAACAGCAGGCTTTCTTTTCGCTTTGCTGTTTTGGTGACTCGAACCCTCAATCTTATGGTTGGAGGTAGGATCCTTGCCACTAGGGTATTCCTCCCTTGTCCTTTTCCCTTCACAACTCTCATCACATTAAACACATTAAATTTGTTTTTACTAACATAACTTGTCAGATACAAGCAAAGATAAACATCTCAATGTATTGTGTTGGACTTCAGCTTACTACGGCCCATGACACAGGCCCACCACCGATTTAGTTAAGAGTTTATTTATTTGTATTTTGAGCTTCTGGGCTAAAGCCCAATATAATGTAAACAATAGACACACATGAGAAGACTGGTACATTCTAGAAGAAAGAACAGAAAATATTTCCCTCTCTCCCAGTTCTTCTTTCTCCCATGAACTTTAATCAAATCTCCATTGATTCTTGCTCGATTCAGTAGTTTTACATGGTATCAGAGTGGATGATCCGCTGATTCTCCTTCTCCTGTTTTGAGCGGTGTTACCCTCGCTCGTTTTCATCAGTTTTTCGCTCGATCGTCGATGTTCGTGGTTGATTCTGTTTCTGGTAGTTTCCTTTCGATTTGCAGATAGAATCAAGGCCGGAGTTACCTTTCCGTCATCTATTGGCGGTATTTGTGATATGCATGGGTGAATTTGGATCGAATTGGACCGATTTCCTCCTCCGCTGCTGACCTAGGGTTTGCTCTGTTAAGGCTTTTGGAATCTACATTCAAGGCCGTTTGTTTTCCGGTAGCGAAAACACACGATAATATCTTCTAATTTTCATTTCGTTGCTTTGGTCATCTATTTGTGTTCGTTACTTTGAGGAAAGTCTCTGACTGTCGATATGGGAGCATCTAATGCATCCTCGAGTACTACCTATACTCCTGAGCCATCCAGTCCACTCTTTTTACTTTCTTCTGATGTACCTGGTGTATCTCTGGTCAGTGTGCCTTTCTCTGGTACTGGTTTTGGGGGTTGGAGGCAGAATATGATCGTATCTCTGTCCGCTAGAAATAAAATAGGATTCATTGATGGAAGCTGTCCGAGACCAGCTGAGGATACTCCTCATTTTAAGCAGTGGGATAGGTGTGATAACATGGTCATTTCCTGGCTGACTAATTCCCTATCCCCGGACATAACTGAGAGCGTTCAATACTCGGATACTGCTGATATGGTTCAGTTAAGCTGAGAGTATTTGGGCTCAGCTTAATAAAAGATATAGTTCAGTTAGTGGGATTAAGGTGTTTGAGATTAAGCAAGAGATAGCATCTATTCATCAAGGGTCATTGGACATTGCTTCCTATTTCAACAAACTCAAAAAATTATGGGATGAGCTGAGGTTTATGTGCACTAATCATGCCAATACCTGTGTTTGTGCTGCTAAACCTGGACTTCAAAAGGAGGAAGAGGAGAACAGACTACATCAATTCCTCATGGGTCTGAATGAGACCTATGTTGATGTTAGGAGCAACTTGCTCATGATGCAACCTCCACCTTCTCTCGATGATGCTTATAGTATCCTCCTCCAAGATGAAAAGCAGAGGCAAATTACTCCCAATTCTCATTTCCAAGGTGACTCTGCTTCTTTTCATGTCAATCTGAATACCAAATCTGCCCCTCCTAGACGGTTTGCCCAGAAAATCAGTTTTGATCAGAACAAGTCTCCTCTTTTCTGCAAGTATTGTAAGAAACCTGGACATTTGATTGATAAATGCTATAAGCTCCATGGATTTCCACCAAACTTTAAATTCACCAAAGGTAAACGAACTGCTGCAAATGTTGAGGTGCAGAGTTCAGTTTGTGCTTCTGAATCTGGACCAGTTCCCACTGAAAGTCCTGTTGACTCTAATTCTGTGATTCCTGGTTTGTCTAAGGACCAGTATGCTCAGCTCCTGATGCTACTTCAGCAACATCACATTTCAGAGTCTCTCCCTCAGTCTAGTCTCATGGCCTCTGCAAATTTTGCGGGCATAATTCCTTCCCTGATTGTGTAGGCAAGGTGTCTTATGGTGCATGCATGCTAACTAGAGTCCATGAGTACACTTGGATAATAGATTCTGGGGCCACTAATCACATGACTTCTAGGAAAGAACTCCTCTTTGATATTCAGCCCCTAGTTGTCCCATATTTGGTCACACTTCCTGATGGATATAAAGTCAAAGTCACTTGCACTGGTTCTCTTCACTTTCTTTCTTTCACACTTCATCATGTACTTTTTGTCCCTAGTTTTCAGTACAATCTTATTTCTGTTCACAAGCTTGTTGCACAATTAGATTGCCTGGCTCTGTTTGGTAAATTTTCATGTTTTCTCATACAGGCCCCTTCAATGAAGAGGCCACTGGAAATTGGTAAACAGGATCATGGGCTATACAAGCTTGTGCAGCCATGTCCACAATCTGATCCTACTGTTCTTGCTGTTGCTTGTAATAGTTTTCCTAATTGTTCTTCTACTTCTATGTCTTCCAATTGTAAATACCATTCTCCATTGGCTGCTATTGGAACTGATAATCATTGTACATACCACTTTGATTTGAATAAAATGGAGATTTTATGGCATAATAGGTTGGGGCATATTCCCTTTGTGAGAATGAAGGATATTTCATCCATTCCATGCAAATTTTCATCCAAACAGTCCTTTACTTGTTGTATTTGTCCTTTGGCTAGACAACCTAGATTGCCCTTTCCTGATAGCTCCATCAAAACTTCTCATCCCTTCCAACTTGTCCATCTGGATACTTGGGGACCATATAGCACTCCTACCTACAATGGGTGCAAATATTTTTTGACTATAGTAGATGATTTCACTAGAGCTACTTGGACTCACCTTATGGGGTCTAAAAGTAATGCTTTTCCTCTGATTAAAGCCTTTGTTGCCATGGTCAAAACACACTTTCAAACTTGCATTCAAACTATTAGGAGTGATAATGCTCTTGAACTTGGGTTTGGTGTTCTTGTTGGCCAATTCTTTGTTGACAATGGCATTGTTCACCAAACATCTTGTCCACACACACCACAACAAAATGGGGTGGTCGAAAGGAAACATAGGCATTTGTTGGAAACCTCTAGAGCTTTACTTTTCCAATCCAAGTTACCTATTAAGTTTTGGGGTGATTGTGTGCTCACTTCCACTTACCTCATAAATAGATTCCCTTCCAAGTTGCTTGCCAATAAAACTCCTTTTGAATTACTTTTTGGGCAACCCCCTTCATATGCTCACATTAGAACCTTTGGTTGCTTGTGTTTCTCCACAATTCCTAAGTGTCACAAGGACAAGTTTCAACCTAGAGCTGATCCTTGTGTTTTCCTGGGATATCCCTTGGCTAAGAAAGGCTATAAACTTTACAATCTGGCTACTAAACTAACATTTATCTCTAGAGATGTGGTGTTTCATGAGGGTATCTTTCCTTTTGCCTCACTCTCTCCATCTGTTACTTCTACATCACCTTCTTCTTCTGTTCCTTTCTTTTCTGATGACTTTCATCACACCTCCTCTCATGAACCTGATCCTGTCTCATCCTCCACGCCTATTGTTTCTCCCTCTTCTTCTCCTATTCATTCTCATGTGTCTGTTCCTCACTCTGCTCCTATCCTTGAACCTCCTCCTGCTCCTCCTATTGCTCCTAGTCTGTCTCCAGCTCTGTTAGGAGATCCTCCAGAAATCATGTTACTCCCAGTCATCTTCAGCATTATGTTTGCAGTCTGCCTCTTTCTCTATGTGGCTCTAGTTATTCTCCCTTTTGTTCTCAAAGTTCAGTTAGCATTGCTGGCCTGGAACCCCAGTCTTACCATCAGGCAGCTTCTATTCCAGCTTGGCAAGAGGCCATGAGAAAGGAATTTGAGGCTCTTGAGGCTAATGATACTTGGTCCATTGTTGAGTTACCTCCTGGCAAGAAACCCATAGGTTGTAAGTGGATACATAAGATAAAATATAAGGCTGATGGGTCTGTAGAAAGATATAAGGCTAGGTTGGTTGTTAGGGGTGATACACAGGTGGAGGGTGTAGATTTTAATGAAACTTTTTCCCCAGTTATCAAATTTTCTACTGTTAAAAAGGAATTGGTCTATGTTTCAACTTGATGTAAATAATGCATTTTTGCATGGAGACTTGGATGAGGAGGTCTACATGAAATTGCCCCCTAGTTTGTCTGTTGAGAATGTTACTTCATCTGGTCAGTCTTCTAATTTGGTTTGTCATCTTCAAAAATCTTTGTATGGTTTGAGACAGGCATCTAGGCAGTGGTATGCCAAGCTGTCCCATGCTTTGCGTTCTAGGGGTTACTTTCATTCTTTGAAGGACTATTCACTTTTCATCAGAAGATCAGGTGGTTCAACTGTACTTCTTGCCGTTTATGTGCATGATATAATTCTTACCGATAATGATTTGGAAGAAATCCCTGCCTTGAAATTTTTCTTGGACAATCAATTCAAAATCAAGGATCTGGATGTTCTTAACTACCTTCTTGGCATAGAAGTGGCATACCTTCCTTCTGGGCTATTACTTCATCAAAGTAAGTTCATCAGAGATCTACTTCATGAATACAATTGTGATATGGTGTTTCCTGTGACTTGCCCTTTGGATTGAACTCTAAATTGAAGGCTGCCATGGGTGACCCTCCGCCTTCTCCTGACACTACGATGAAATACGATAGAAACATCTTACAAGTAAAAACGTCGGCGAGCTGAGAAGTGGTAGGAACATGATGCAAGGTGATTAGGCCGTCACCAAGTTTATTCCGAACAAAATGACAGTCCAATTCAATGTGCTTCGTTCGCTCATGAAAAACAAAGTTCTTCGCAATATGAATGGCCGCTTGGTTGTCACAAAACACATGTACAGCAGAAGATATCGCAACACCAAAATCAGATAAAGGGCGAACAACCCAAGTCAACTCCGCAACTACCTTACTAATAGCTCGGTACTCAGCCTCAGCAGAAGAAAGGGAGACAACTGGTTGCTTCTTAGCCTTCCAACCAATGATAGAATCCCCCAAAAGAATGCAAAAGCCAGTGACTGATCTGCCAGTGACATCATTTGAAGAAGCATTATCAACAGTAACAGTGAATACCTTATCCAATTTCCATTCAAGCAAACAATTACCAATAACCTTTGCCATTTCGTCACCCTTATGACTAGAGATAGGGCAAAAATGTAGTATTCTTTTATGCAACACCCAATCTCTATCAATAAAATGACCCGTCAAACACATATAGTTAATTCTTTGTAACGAAGTCCATGTGTCTGTGGTAAGGCAAATTTTTGATTTTACATCTCTGAAATTTTTCATTAGTTTAAGCCTCTCTTCATTGTAAACTTGAAAACAATCCCTTGTAATTGTCCTACGAGAACGAACATTAAATTGAGGTTGGGCTATGCTAATAAACTTCTTAAAGCCTTTCTTTTCAACAAAGCTAAAAGGTAATTCCTCCACAATTACCATCTCAATTAAAGCCCTCCTAACTAGTTCTTGATCAAATTTCCAAAGCACCCCACCATTAATTTGCCCATCCTTTTGAAAACACAATTGTGTTTGAGTATTATCAACTTTCCGTGCTATTTTTGGACACTTCTTTAAATGAGTATTCAATGATGTTGTTCCATTCAATCGTGAATTAGCCTTATAATCACGACCACAATATTTACACTTTGCTCTATCATCTCCATTAGAATCTTTAAACTTTTCAAAATGATCCCAAGCAAGTGATCTAGATTGTACAGATTTTCTTTTTTTTGGGTCTTCACTAACTGAATTTGTAGGTGAAGAAGTAGGTTCGCTTTCAGATGAACCCACCTCACTTACTCTACTTTCAACTTCTGCCATCTATAGAAAATCGAATGAAAACACAATTAAGGAGTGTACTTCTTTAATGAAAACACAATCGAATGTTAAAGGTAGCCACAGAGAGAAACTTCTCTAATTAAAATAAATGGATAGGTGAACTCTTACATGTACATTACTACAGAAAAGTATACTCTTTTAGGAGTGGATGTAAAATTTTACCTTATAGGAGTAGTACATTACTATATGAAAAATGAACATATTCATATAGCTATATGCTCTGTCTCTGCGTGCAATGAAAATTGTGCATATATTATCCCATCATTAGAAATTCATTTCTCTTTTTCCTTTATCTTTAGCAGGTTAGGATGATTACTTAACTCGCTAATATTCCAAACAGAGAATAAATCATTCAAAACAAAGAGCAACAGAAATAGAAAAAACAAGATAAAATTGTAGCCGAAAATGTCACTGCTTGTAGCCGAAAATACTTGTATTCAAAACAAGAGAATGATTTATTCAAAACAAGAGAATGATTTAGCCGAAAATGTCACTGCTTGTATTCAAAACAAGAGAACAAATCGTTCAAAACAGAAATACTTGTAACCGAAGAAGAAGGCAGCACTAACCTGAGGAAGAAGGCAGCAGTCGCAGTCGCAGTCGCACAGAGCTGAGGAAGAGCCGAAGAGGAACAGTCGCACAGTTCGCAGTCGCAGCTCACAGACGCAGTCGCAGAGGAGAGGAACTGAGGATCGAGAAAGAGGAACCCTAAATCTAAAATTTTAAATTGGGTCTATGACTCTATGACGGTAAATTGGGTGAGGTGGGCTTGGACATTTGGGCAATTGGGCTTGGACAATACTGGTTATAACTTATAAGTTATAACTTATACGGATAGAGTCATAGAACTAATAATCTAAATATCTAATACCCCTAAATTTCGGTTTTTCGGTTTAACCGAAAACCGAATTACATAAACCGTGCACCGCATCGAAAAACTGAAAATTAATAATTTTATAACCGTACCGACCGAAAAATCGATTAAACCGAAACCGAAAAACCGAAATTCACGGTTCGGTCGGTTTTTTCGGTTCGGTCGGTATTATGCCCACCCCTATCTCCAGCGGCTTGCCTTTATCTATTATGATATTAGTTATTTTATATATTCCATTATATGAATTTCTCATCATAATTCAAAAGATACTTTCTCATCTTAAATTCAAATAAATTTTTAGCTTTTTTGAGTAAACCTATTTACTCGTTATTTGAAATTCTTTCATTGTTCAACATTTTTTGTTTTAATTTTATTAGATTTTGGTTATGTGGTATTATCTATTATATGACTTTTCTCATCATTATTAGAAAGGCACTTTCTCGTCTCAAATTTAAATAAATCTCAACATTCTATATTTTTTATTGGGAAAAGGGTCAAAATTACCCCTCTACTATTGTTTATTGGTTGCTTGTGCTACTCGTTATACTTTTCAGCCATTCTTGTCCCTACCGTTAACAAAGTTTACAAAATTACCCCTAACCCTAACGTCCCTCCACTGTGGCAGCTGACCCCATCAATTTTATCCACGTCAGCTTCCATGTCAGCTGCCATGTCATCGACCCCACCAAATTAAAATCCTAACATAAACGACCCCCCACTCCTCACCTCTCCTCCCTTTCTCTCATCTTCTCTCCCTCACCTCATACCAAAATCGCCGAAAACTATGGTATTTCGCCGGAAAATTTTCAACGGGCAGAACTAACCTCCACGGTACTGGCTCCCCTCTTTGTCTCCTTTCTCCTTCTTAATGTTTCGTCATTCAAACAGCAACCCCGTTCTCCGGCAAGAAATTTAAATCAACTCACACACACAAAGACCCTTCATTCTCCCTCAGAATCTTTCAAGAAACAATTCTCACATGATTGATACAAATAATTTTCAAACCTACGACCATTCAATATTAGAACAACTTCCAAAAGAAATTTTCAAATATGAAACTCTTAAACTTCAACAATGGTGAAGCCGATGAACCACGTTTAAAATTAATTTTCAACTGGGTTTTACAAAATTTCAGTCCTATAACAGTTACCAAACCACTCCTCAAAGTTTAATTCAACCTCATATGCATAAAATCCCAACCCAGGATGAGGCTTTAAATTTTCGATAATGGGCTTCCAAATCTCTTACTTGAATCTGACCTAGCAGTAATGAACACATGAACTTAATTCAAAATCTGAAAATTCAAATATAATCATGTTATTTTATTTTGGCTAGATTGTTTGTTGGATTTTCTGGTTCTGGTTGAAATTGGTATGAAGGAGGTGACATGGTGATTTGATGAGGAAGAAAGAGATGTAATAGAAAAATGACAAAAAAATCTCCTGAGCAAGCAGAATTTTTTTAGAACACATTCCTGGGCAAGCTTTTCGAAGATATCATTATATCCATATCAGGATCAACCTGTTTAAGCACATTGAAAATGTAGATCTTGTAAGTCCAATTGACTTCTTTGCCCTCTTCTTCTTCTTGTCTCCTGTGGCAGCGACGTCCATGGGGAGTTTTTTTCCGGCCTTTGATTTCTTGGCGGCGAGGGGTTTTTCCAGCTGCTGGTATGTGGTTTCATAATTGAATCGGCTTGTAGTGAAGACAGTGAGATGTATGAAGGCGCAGGGGTGGTGAACGGCGATACTACTCTATCTCGTTATTGTTAAAAAAAAATAACTAAGATATTATTAAAAGTGGTGATATGGACGCTGACGTGGCATTTTATTTGGTGGACTTGCTGACTTGGATTCTGACATGGACAAAATATTAGAGGGGTCAGCTGCCACAATGGAGGGACGTTAGGGTTAGGGGTAATTTTGCAAACTTTGTTAACGGTAGGGACGAGATGACCGAAAAGTGTAACGGGTGGCACAAGCAACCAATAGACAATAGTAGAGGGGCAATTTTTTACCCTTTGCCCTTTTTTATTTATTATTGCTTTTCATTATTGCATTATTCATTATTTAGTATTTTTGCATTTCATGTGACGTCATGTTTTATTAGTTTACATTTTCTTGGTATTATTTTCATGTGCCGTTTTGCTAAAAATATATTCAAGTATTATTTAAATTTGTTAATATATTTTCAAAATTATTAAAATACTCTCACATTATATTTTCACGTGACTCTTTATTAAAACGGTATTGAGAAAAGTCACTTGGCATTTTTATGACAAAATCTAAAAATATTTTTTTTTAGTATTACAAAAAATACTCTCGCATTACCTCTATAATGTAGATGTTTTATTTAAGATCATGAAATGTAAAAATATTAAATAATGAATAATACCTGAATATTATTTAATTTTATTAATAATATTTTTGAGAGTTATTAAAATACTCTCACATTATCTCTATAAATATAGATGTTTTATTTAAGATCTTATTTTGCTACTTAATTGGCATCTAATATTTGATAACACTTGGCATTCTAATAGTATTTTGTCTTTCCTATTCTATATAGAGATAGAAGATTCTAGTAAAAGATTTGCTTTTGTCTTTGACGTTTTTGCCATCCGTTTAAATTTGTAGTAGTTATTGAGTCTTTGATTTCCATAATAATCTTCGATTTAACAATGTAGGAATCTAATGAGTTATTGTTATAAATAGAATTTTATTTATGGTGAATATCTATATTTAGAGAGATTTTTTTGACCAAAAGATATTGAAATCTTTTTGATTAAATCAATTAATGAAGATGAAGAGGTAAATCTCAGCCAAGTATAATAAAATCTAGACTAAAAGATGCAAGGGATGAACAAAATGAATAATGCTTCTTAATATGTCGAAACCAAATGATTAAGCATAAATATGATAGCTTCGAATGTAGCAAAAATATTGCAATGGATGCTATTAGCCAAAGATAAAGATGATGTATGGATCTCAGAATTGTAATAAGCAAAAGTTGTCTTCTCTGTATTCACTTTTTGATCTCCCCCTTTTTTACAAAGTCTCCCCCTCTATTTATAAGGAACAATTCCCTCTTGAACCCTAAAAAGGTATAACATAAAGAATATTCGAAAAGCATATTCCTATTGTCTTCTACTATGCATACACTACTGCAAATGTTGTGCGTTTGCTAACCGCTATCTGTCGTCACCCTTTGCAACGACCAAAGGACGCTACGTCGTAAGGGCCTCGTCCCTCGCCGTACTCGTTAGTGGTCGAGGTCGTCCAAATTTGGACCTATACAGTTAGTCCCTCCGCTTGTCGAGGTTGCGGCTCGTGCGTCCTCGATAAGCGGACATCGCCCATACCTGCAGAAAAATTTGGCTTACGAATCGTAATGGTTTGGGCAACAACGGAAGAGTAGTGTGCTTCACGATATTGTGGGTGGTGTGTCTTATTGGGAAATGACGTCACTTCTACGTGCGTCATCATTACACGCCTTTCTAAGACAGAGACTGATGGTTTGTCGCTTCGATTTTGGTGCCATTGGCAGCCTTCCGCTTTGATTCTGGCACTACCCAACCCTATAAATAGGTGAAGGGTTTGTTTTTTCAAAAACTCTTGGCCATTTCTTCTTTGGTTATTCCTTCTTATATCTTCAGCTTCCGCTCTTGCGTTTTCTTTGCTTTCTCTCTTTCGTTCGCTGTTCTTGGGTTTTTCTGTTTTATTAACGCATCTTCCGCCATAAATATGCCTAGAACACATCGATCTCGTGAGGGGATTTCTGACGCCACCCCGTTATCCATGGCGCTCCCTTCCGGTGGCGAGGACATGACGGTGGAGGAAGGGGATAGTTTTCCCACCATGGACGAGTTACTGCCGAGGCACCCCATGTCTCGAAGTGAATTACTTAAAGAACATGCTCCTACTCCTGCTTCGGTAGTATCTGAAATCGAGCAGACCCATATAGATGCCCTCCGTGCCAAGTACAACATTCTCCCTCATGTCGAGATGGTTCCGGCGGGGAGGGACTTCGTGGAGGTCCATAGACCGGGGTATTGTGCTTTTTATGAGTACCCCTTTGTGATTGGCCATTCCTTCCCCCTTCTCCCGTTAGCAGAAGAATTTTGTCGATTCTATCATGTTTGCCCGACGCAGCTTCTCCGTACACGTACAAAATACTTTTGGCGTTGACAAAATACACGGAGTTGGCGGGGTGTGAAATTAACATTCACCATCTCTAACACCTGTTTTCCCCTAGTTTTCACAGAGGTAATATGGTGCATTTGAAGCACCATGGGACCAAAGCGCTGGTGGTCGGAATTGACGACCGTGCGAGCCGTAAATTTTGGCATAAGTATTTCTTTGTCAAAATTGATCACATTGTGTCAGACCCTGCTAGATTCCCGGAGCGGTGGGATGATAATAGTAGGTGTGGTAACTTATTTACCCTCTTTTTTTTTTGTTCAACTTAGTATTTATCTGCGGCTTTCTTTTGCAGCTATTGGGCGTCCACCCCGTCCCATTGCCGGTATAAGGAACTGGGTGGACTGTTTGCTGCTTCACGCAGTGGAGACTCGAGACTGGCCTGCTTTTGTGAAACGTTTTGGGCCGAAGGTCTCATCCGGTAAGTGTCTTCCTCTATACCACTCTTCGACTGTTTGCCATTGTCTATTGATACGACTCTTTGTGGTGATAGATCGCGGAGCTTCTAGGCGGAGAGCCCCAGTCCCTATATTTCGCCAGGTCGTCGCCTCGGCGGGAATGCAATTTACTTTGGAGGAGTCCGTCCGAGAGGGTCGTGCTCAGCCGGTATAGATGAGAGACTCCTCTCGGGATATGGTTGTGAGGGAAGAGATCTCCT